GCCGTGTGCTGTGTGCTGTGTGCCGTGTGCCGTGTGCCGTGTGCCGTGTGCTCTGTGCCGTGTGCCGTGTGCCGTGTGCTGTGTGCCGTGTGCCGTGTGCCGTGTGCCGTGTGCTGTGTGCCGTGTGCTGTGTGCTGTGTGCCGTGTGCTGTGTGCCGTGTGCTGTGTGCCGTGTGCTGTGTGCTGTGTGCTGTGTGCCGTGTGCCGTGTGCTCTGTGCCGTGTGCCGTGTGCCGTGTGCTGTGTGCCGTGTGCTGTGTGCTGTGTGCCGTGTGCTGTGTGCCGTGTGCTGTGTGCCGTGTGCTGTGTGCTGTGTGCCGTGTGCCGTGTGCCGTGTGCCGTGTGCTCTGTGCCGTGTGCCGTGTGCCGTGTGCCGTGTGCCGTGTGCTCTGTGCCGTGTGCTGTGTGCCGTGTGCCGTGTGCTCTGTGCCGTGTGCTGTGTGCCGTGTGCCGTGTGCTCTGTGCCGTGTGCCGTGTGCCGTGTGCTGTGTGCCGTGTGCCGTGTGCTGTGTGCCGTGTGCCGTGTTCTCTGTGCCGTGTGCCGTGTGCTGTGTGCTGTGTGCTGTGTGCCGTGTGCCGTGTGCCGTGTGCTGTGTGCTGTGTGCCGTGTGCTGTGTGCCGTGTGCTGTGTGCCGTGTGCTGTGTGCTGTGTGCCGTGTGCTGTGTGCCGTGTGCTGTGTGCTGTGTGCCGTGTGCTGTGTGCTGTGTGCTGTGTGCCGTGTGCCGTGTGCCGTGTGCTCTGTGCCGTGTGCTGTGTGCCGTGTGCCGTGTGCTCTGTGCCGTGTGCCGTGTGCTGTGTGCTGTGTGCCGTGTGCCGTGTGCCGTGTGCCGTGTGCTCTGTGCCGTGTGCCGTGTGCCGTGTGCCGTGTGCTCTGTGCCGTGTGCTGTGTGCCGTGTGCTCTGTGCCGTGTGCTGTGTGCCGTGTGCCGTGTGCCGTGTGCTGTGTGCTGTGTGCTGTGTGCCGTGTGCTGTGTGCTGTGTGCTGTGTGCTGTGTGCTGTGTGCCGTGTGCTGTGTGCTGTGTGCTGTGTGCTGTGTGCCGTGTGCCGTGTGCCGTGTGCTGTGTGCCGTGTGCCGTGTGCTGTGTGCTGTGTGCTGTGTGCTGTGTGCTGTGTGCTGTGTGCCGTGTGCTGTGTGCCGTGTGCTGTGTGCCGTGTGCTGTGTGCTGTGTGCTGTGTGCTGTGTGCCGTGTGCTGTGTGCCGTGTGCTGTGTGCTGTGTGCCGTGTGCTGTGTGCTGTGTGCCGTGTGCTGTGTGCTGTGTGCTGTGTGCCGTGTGCCGTGTGCCGTGTGCTCTGTGCCGTGTGCTGTGTGCCGTGTGCCGTGTGCTCTGTGCCGTGTGCTGTGTGCCGTGTGCCGTGTGCCGTGTGCTGTGTGCCGTGTGCTGTGTGCTGTGTGCCGTGTGCTGTGTGCCGTGTGCCGTGTGCTGTGTGCCGTGTGCCGTGTGCCGTGTGCCGTGTGCCGTGTGCTGTGTGCTGTGTGCTGTGTGCCGTGTGCCGTGTGCCGTGTGCCGTGTGCCGTGTGCCGTGTGCCGTGTGCTGTGTGCCGTGTGCTGTGTGCTGTGTGCTGTGTGCCGTGTGCCGTGTGCTGTGTGCTGTGTGCCGTGTGCCGTGTGCCGTGTGCCGTGTGCTGTGTGCCGTGTGCTGTGTGCTGTGTGCCGTGTGCCGTGTGCCGTGTGCTGTGTGCCGTGTGCTGTGTGCTGTGTGCCGTGTGCTGTGTGCTGTGTGCTGTGTGCCGTGTGCTGTGTGCTGTGTGCTGTGTGCTGTGTGCTGTGTGCTGTGTGCCGTGTGCTGTGTGCCGTGTGCTGTGTGCCGTGTGCTGTGTGCTGTGTGCTGTGTGCTGTGTGCCGTGTGCTGTGTGCCGTGTGCTGTGTGCTGTGTGCCGTGTGCTGTGTGCTGTGTGCCGTGTGCTGTGTGCTGTGTGCTGTGTGCCGTGTGCCGTGTGCCGTGTGCTCTGTGCCGTGTGCTGTGTGCCGTGTGCCGTGTGCTCTGTGCCGTGTGCTGTGTGCCGTGTGCCGTGTGCCGTGTGCTGTGTGCCGTGTGCTGTGTGCTGTGTGCCGTGTGCTGTGTGCCGTGTGCCGTGTGCTGTGTGCCGTGTGCCGTGTGCCGTGTGCCGTGTGCCGTGTGCTGTGTGCTGTGTGCTGTGTGCCGTGTGCCGTGTGCCGTGTGCCGTGTGCCGTGTGCTGTGTGCCGTGTGCTGTGTGCTGTGTGCTGTGTGCCGTGTGCCGTGTGCTGTGTGCCGTGTGCCGTGTGCCGTGTGCTGTGTGCCGTGTGCTGTGTGCTGTGTGCCGTGTGCTGTGTGCTGTGTGCTGTGTGCCGTGTGCTGGTGTTGTGTGCTGTGTGCTGTGTGCTGTGTGCCGTGTGCTGGTGTTGTGTGCTGTGTGCTGTGTGCTGTGTGCTCTTGGTATGTTTGTGTCTTCTCACAGCCTAGAACATGCTAAATGAGGGAAGGAACTCACTGCAATTCACGCTGCATTCATCATCTTAAAATACTCTGGTATAGATATCACATGAAGTAAAAAAGTGAGTAGAGCTGCACATTCTGCTGTAAGGGACGTATCTCCCATTTCCACTTAAGTTGCTCTTATTTCAGCCTGTTGCAACACATGTGCAGTGTACTTTATATTTTTATAAGTGTTTACAGAATTGTTTTATATTGCCTTACCCAGGGCTGCTGTGCATGTTAATCTGCCAAGCTGGTAAACCAGCAGAGCCTTAGGCAGGTGTGTTCATAAGGTTGAAAAATAAGTTGCCCTGGTCTGGTTTTGATTGAACAGTAAGTGGCAAACTGAGTGCTGTGCTAAGGAGGAGCAGTAGTAATTCTGGGATGTACTGAAACTGATGGCATGTGAGCCCAGGCAGAAAAAGCCAGTTGTTTCTGGAGGCTCTTCACCATCAGCACTGAGCATTGTTGGTATTTCTTTTCACCTGGGAGCTGGGAATGTACAAACTGGAGTTCAGCCTGTAACTGTGCTGTATTGCATGTTCTGAAGCTCTGCTCTCTGGCACTCACAGAAATAACACTGAGAGTGCTGCTTATTCAAATTAAAAAAAAAAAAAAAGCTTTGGTCAAGCCTTGAACAAACTTTGATTTCCTTTGGCCACAACAGCCACGCACTGACCAAACATTACTTAGCAAAAGCACAGAACTGGACCATGGCATTCCTTGTGCAAACGAACATGCTGTCTGGCTGCACAGAAGGCCTGTTATGTGGTGTTGGGTCTGTAATACAGCTCTTGATTGTCCTACTGGGCTCTCCCTCTTTTATGAAGGGTCTTCAAAACATAAGAATGTATTGGATTGCTGGTATTTTCTTGACATAACTTTCAAAGCTCTAATACAGAGGGATCAATATTTTCATATCATTGACTTAAAAAAGCCCTGCTACTTTAAATCTTGTTCAGTTCGAGAGTTGGCTTGCATCACATGTAGCAGGATAGAGACAAGCTGCTCTTCAGGAGAAGTCAAGCAAACCGAGCTAATCCCCTGCCCTAAGGAAGCATCTCATTCCCTTCAGAGCTCACAGTGGTGGGGCTGAAAAGGGAGCCCTACTGAATTTACTGCAATATTCAGTGTCATCTGTATATAAAGAACAGACTGATACTCTGAGGATTTGAGCAGCAGGAGACTATACCATGCGACTTCTTTCACATTCATTCAAACAGGAACTGCAGCAGTTTATGTCTGCAAACAGAATTTTTCTTGCTTCTCTAAGAGACAGGCTTAGAAAAAGAGAACAGGCTGCAAAGAACTGTGCTGGTAGCTGTGTTCTAGCTGCTCTTACTTTTTAGTGTTTTACCACAGGTCCTTGAGACCAGGTCACTTTCATTTACCTGCCAGGCAGGGACTTCAGGAACCAAAGTCTACATATCCAGTCATCGCCTTTCTGTTGTTTGTTTCCTTCTTTTACCTTTTGTTACAAATTTCCTCAGGTTTACAATGCAGGGTTTAAAGTGAGCCTTCAGCGAGAGCCTGAGGGCATTTAGCACTTCCTAGAATAGGACTAGAACATCAGTACCTGGAAATACATGAACAGCAAGGTCAAACAAGAGCAGTGGTGGGCTGGGACGTATCTTAAATGTCTTATGTCTGTTCACTCTGTCTTGTATTTCTTCTTGTTGTGTTTATTTATTTAGTAATTTTGCATGATTATTTTGTTATAGAAAGTAATAATTTGGCCAAAACATTCTCCTGAGGTTTTTTTATATCAATAGTCAGCCATACTGGAAACAAATAGATACATATGAATATTGTCTCCATCATATTTGGATGAGTCCTGATTTCATATTTTCTTCCTTCTCACTTGGAATTAGTGCTTTTAAAGACAGTGCTCTTTTAGATGCTATCAGGGTGGATTTTACTGATTTAGGTTACAGGAAGGAACTTAGGCCAGAAATAGATGGTATGTTTTCTGCTAAGAATACTGAAATAGCCCATCTTAAAAGATGGGGGAAACCTAGCCAGTTGGCCACAGACCAGCAGATTGCCAGGCTGACAAGTCGCGGGAAGCTTGGCTGGCAGATTAATGGTTTAAAATCTAATGCTCTAAAAGGAGAAGTTGGGTCTCAGTAAGCACTTGGCAGGAGCAGAATCGGGAAGAGCTGTGTGCTAATGCCCTAATGCAGTTTTGCCTTTGACCCTACAGCATGTTTGCAAGGCCCTGGCATTGCCATGTGGTGTTTCTGTCACTGTGGTATTGAACCACAGCCTTCTATTTGCCTTTAGCAAAAGTAATCATCAGGCAACTGTATAGGTCTGTTTGATAGAAATCCTTCTTGAGACTTCAACCATTTAATTGCAAGGTCCTGGGTTTTTTTGCACGAAAGTGGTCTTTAGTTGTGTGGCTTTAATGCTGAACAGGCTGACAACTGTGAGACCCAGCTACCCCAAGTGCCCTTTTCCAGCTGTTCTCAGTATTCCAGTCATTGTAGTACTCGCTAGAGATTTCCAAAGCCTTGCTCTGACAGCATTGTCCGCCATTAAAACTGTGCAACATAGTTGATGTTCATGTTAACATTTTTTTTATTACCTAAATCATTCTTAAAATCACTAAGTGAGACAGGTTAAACTAGAAAACAACTATGGGCCAGAATTCATGCAGTCCTGCAAGAAATTGTTCTTTCCACAAATGGAGGAGAGCAAATACAGAATGGGAGTTCAGGTTTATGTGGATCTTGCTTGTTTGTTTACCTTGTATTTTTGCTGAGGATACTCCACATCCTAAGTATTTCTTCCCTGGTATCAAAAAATGGAGACAGAGGCAGCATGCAGTACTTCTCAGGATAGGCTGACGGGCAGATCCCACAGGCTTTGCTCCGTTTCCACTCAGTCTTTCCTTCATTTACAGTTTCAGGCTTTAGCCAGGGATGGTTGCAAACATGCAGTGTTTGTCAGGGGGCTGACTCTTACATCCACAGAACACAATGAAACATATTTGAATACTCTGTCTTAGAGTTTGGGCAGTGTTTACAAGTTGTTTACTTTCCACTTCTTTTCATTCACTGTTTCTTGTGATTTGACAGCATTCCAGATCCAAGATTGATTTGGTTATATCATACAGTTTTCTATCAGACACAAGAATGGGCTCTTCCTGTGCAGCTGTGTGATAGCAGAGCTCAAACAGGAGTAAAATCTCCGTAAGGGAATAAGAGGAGTTCAAAGGCACATTACAGAACAGGCACTTGCTGCCTGGCTGCAGTTGCAGCAGTGCTAGGGCTGAAGGCATGGCCCATGGGGCAGCCCAGTGAGCAGAGCAGAGGGGATGGTGACCATGCAGCATGTGCTCTGAGCAGGAAGAGCAGCTGTGGTGCCCTCAGGCTCTCCTCTTCCTCTTAGTGGGGTTGCTGGAGTTTAGAGGCCACTGTCACACAATGTACTGTTTTAATGATAAGTCATTAGTTATGTACTCAGAGTAAGGACTTCTTTCCACATGCTGCCAAACAAATTGAGTTAAACTGGTAAAATGATGCCCGGTGTGCTGTCTCTAAGTGAAGTGCTTGGCTGTTACATAATGGTTTTAATGACTTTCTTCATCTGTCTGCTTAGGCACACCATGCGTCTGGCAAAAATTTGAGAAGGCTCAAGGCGTTAAAGAAAGCTCATCTAAATAAAGGCGGGTTAAAGTGACATTGCAGTTACTTAATCCTGCATTGTCCTGCCATGTGACTTCAGTGATACGGAGGCGCTGCGTTTCTTTTGGCTGGTGCACAGATCATGCTTTTCCTGTCATCTTCCAGGATCAGTTGCTTTGTTACAGCAGCAATGGGAAGGAAACGGAGGGGCAACAGACTATTTACAGCAAGGCTTCGAGGCGGTCACTTCCAAGCTACAGTGACAAGCTCCCAGGCTGAGGAATGAATCAGAGAAAAACCCTGTGTTCAGCTTTTGGACTGGTACCAGAATCAGGACCCACGTTCTTAAGGTCAGCTACTCAAAATGAACTGGAAACATCTGAATTTATGCAGAGTAGGTAATCAGCTACTTGTCTGATTTTTTCCTATCAAGCCAGTTTTCAAAGCAGCTAGCTAGACCCTGAAAATCTGTGTCAAATATTCTGCATTTGTTTCAAATGTACTACATAGAATGTGAGCAACGCACTGTTTTTCTGCATAAAGCCTGCTGTTTGAACTGCAGAGCCTCTTTTACCTTGCAGATGAGCATCCTGACACACTAAATCTGTCAGTGAGAAATGGACAAAAATAGAACCAAATTCCATCTCCAAATTTGGACAGAACTGCAATGTGTAGATACAACTTTTGAGGTGAATTCCAAACTGGTATGTGGACTTCTTCACTAAGCTGTTTTGTTGCTGTTCGCACGGTGTCTGTTACGTGCAGGATTGCATATTAGCAGAGGAATATTTCACTTCATTAAACTCCTTGTTGGGACATTTTGTTCAATGGAGCCGTGATTACCTACAGACTATGACAACAGGATTTGTGAATGGAGGAGGTCTTGGAAAGCATCGCTATGCCAGGTGGAATCGTGAGGACAGTGGAGAAGACTATGGGCGTGAGGAGTGCTGTGGAGGAGATGAAGAGGGCAGGCAGCAGAGGCTGACCCCATTTGAGAAACTAATGCAGGATATGTCCCACAATGAAAAAGTGGTGAAAGAATTAACCCTGGGAAAGAGAATTGGCTTCTACCGAGTCAGAGGAGAAATAGGAAGTGGGAATTTCTCACAAGTGAAACTTGGAATTCATTCTCTTACCAGAGGTAGGCACTGCTGTGTGGGTCACCTGGTTTCTGATCGCCCTAGTTCTGTGTACACATAAACTGACCTCTTTGATAAGAAAAATGCTGCCGCAACCTTCAATACACATACCAGTTGTATGTGCCTTTTTCGTTGTGTGAACCTGTAAGCAAGTACAAAGATAAATGCTTAGGTTAGAGGTAGCCTTCAGCCGTGACAAGCAGCCAGAAACACTTCATTTGGGTGGCATGTCTCACCCTGCAGCTCATGACTCGCCACACTTTGAAAGACAGTGCCACAAACAGTCCACCTGCTGTCTCCCATGCCCAGTGCAGAGGCTGCAGGCTTGCGGGTGCTAAACTTCCAGGGCAGCCTAGCTTGGCATGGACCTGCCACAGCTGGAGGGAGCAAGGCTTCCTTTGCTTAATGGCTAATTTTAGTAATTTTGGTGAGAAATTTGATGTTGTGTTATGCAGGTGGTTTGTTAAGGTAAAAAGCTGGGACAGGGAATACAAGTATAGGCTGAGCGGATGCAGGAAAACAAGCGTTGGTACAGCCAAATCTGGGTAGAGGGTAAGTACAGAAACACACTGCATATACTGCTTGTATGGAGAGCTAGAAAAGCTACATAACTGCAGCAAACACTTTGGTTACAGGTGTAACTATGAACTTGCTTTCGTCTACCCTGTTTCTTCTGCTGCCTTTGACCAAAACAAAAACTGCTTGATTTCCCCTGGGGATAGCTACTTTTCCACGTGCCTTTGTACATTACCATCTTCAGTTTTTCTCTCGTCTTTTCTTTATAATTCAATCAATTCTCATTCCTTTCACCATCTGAAAGGTGGGAAGACTAGGTTCTCCCCCAAACTTTCATTCTCTGCTATCTGCTGCTATTTTTGCTGACCACCTCCTTCAGCCCAGACTGCAGAGATCTGAAAGCTCATGTTGAGCCCAGTTACAGTTTTTACACTGGGAAGTGAAGAATTGGTGGTATTGTCTGTTCTTCTGTTTCTGTGCTGTTTGGTTTTTTTTTTTCCCCCAAAACTGAAGTCTGTCTTAGCCTATGGGTTTGTCTATCTGGGTTCGCTTTTTCTGCTTCCTTGCTTCAGGAAACCCTGTTCTCCTTGGCCCACAGCAAGTTGTTTCTTTTTCTGCTGAGTGATATTTTTCCTTTCACAGAGAACTGTCTTCTGTTTATCATTGGCAGAAATGCTGCTCCCATATTGAGAACAAGAGGAATGCTGATGGGAAGATAAATTTGAGCCAGATGAGCTTTTACCTGTTGAATTTCCCTAGGAGACAGGTTGCTTTAGCATTTGCATAGAGCTGATTGATTGAACACTTTTGGACTTTAGCAAGTACAGTAAATTTGAACAAATTAAATATAAAAACAGGCTTTTTTTTTTTCTTTGAAAAGCTTCTTTTTCACCAAAAATCTCTAAAATTATTTTTTTGTCATTGGGGATTAAAATTTTCATTGGGTAATTTTCTGATGCTAATTTTGCAACTGTCATGAAGAAGGAAGGCTAAGGGGAAAGCATTGTCTTACTTGTTTCTGCTTGTGACTTTGTCTGGCATCATAAAGTATGCATTTGGGATGGAGGAGAGGAACAAGTGTGGGTGCACTTCCCCTACATACACATGCACACATACACACACCCTTCCAAAGAGGAGTCTCCTTCCAGTGTATGTTCATTGCTGTGTTGTTAATGAACTGATGTACCTGCACAGAGCTAATAAGTCTCCTCTTGGGAGAGGTGCAGATAAAAAGTCCTTCCTTGGGGCAGGGGAAGGTACGTGTATATCTTGCATATATTCATCTCTTCAGTTGTTGTTGTAGGTTCTAAGCATTGTCTTTCTGCTGACATCTCACCCTACTTGAAGAAGGAAACAATTTCGTTCTTCACCATGACCAGTTCCTGTAACGATTCTGTAATCAGGTGTGTGCTGTTCTCTAGCCCTCGTGCTCTGTTGCAGCAGAACACCCAAAAATGGTTTGCAAGAAGCTGATAAGGGCAATAAAAATAGTAGTGTCAAAGTGGATGAAGAACCCTGCTTCTCTCACAAAGAGAACGTTGGTTGTTCAGCAGTTGCAGGAAAATCTTAGGTGGTGTGATGTGTACTGGGTTATTCAGATGCACTGCCCCAGCTTGGTTTTGATTTTATTTCCTTTTGCCAATATAGCATATGCTACTTTTTCCTGAAATAATTTCTCAACCATTTATTAACTTTTCTCATTCATTATGACTTCAGATATCATTTTTCAAACCTCAACATATGGTCAGTCAAAATCTTTTTCATAATTAATTCCAATATTTTGGTGAATAAATTTCTTGATGAAAATGACCTATTTAGAACCGCTCCCATACAAGGGAAATACAGTGTTTAGAAACTGGGCTCTTTTTTTTTTTTTCTTTTCTGAAACAGTTTTGAAAGGAAACAAAGGCCTTTTCTTACGCTGTAGCTCAGCTGGTTTTCTGTGTACTGCATGCACATACAACTGCAGAAATGCAAATTTTAATGAGCTTGGACCTGATATGTGGTACTGTGTGAATAAGATCCGGCCTTTCAGTTCTAAACCCTTTTTGTGTGTTTGTTTGCTTTCCTTTTAAAATTTTATTGAGAAAGTAGGCATAGCAGAGGTATGGGAACAGATGAACTTTAAGGTCCCTTCCAGCCTAAGACATGCTGTGACTCTATTTCTCCTACAAGTTGCTTTTTTGTTGTTGTTTTGCTTGTTTAAAGTCCAAATGCTCCCAACTTTTATCAATCAAGACATAACAATGCAATTACATAGCTAAGATTGCAAGAATTGTTTTCTCTGTAGCATCTAAACATTTAGCTGTGCAAATCTCCCCCAAGCTAGCACTTTTTATTCTTGGTTCAGGGGGTCAATGTACTACCAACGTGATAAGGGTTTTACAGTCTTTCACCTCTAGGTCAGCAGTCAGAGCTCTGCCAGGATCTGCCACGTGCTGTTCCCATTAAACAGCTCATTCCCTTCTGATTCACCATGCCAGGTGTCTGTACTGTGCAGTAGGTGCAATCATTCCTAACAGCCTCAGTAGGCAGCAAAAAGCAGGGAAGTCTGCTCTCTCCTCATTTCAGACTTTGTCTGAAAGCAGAAGCATGGAAGGGATAAGTCAGCAGCTCTCAGAATCTCACTTCCCCAGAGTATCTGCTGCACTGTAGTAGGGGAATCAACTCATGCATTTATATTACTAAGATATGTAAATATACCAAACATGGAGTTTTCTTCATCTGTACAGACATAAATGCATATACATCAATAACACTTCAGGAGTACTGAAACACAAAATTTGAGGAAAATAACTTTATAATAGTGTAAATGGAAGCACCTTGAAAGTTTTTCTACCAAATGTAAAATCATAATGGCCTTGTGATGCTTCCTTTAAAGTAACAGCTTTTATTTTTAGTAATTTAACTTTGTCTGCTAGAACATGAAGTTTTTCTTAGAAATAAAATGGTAAGAATGATGAATTGCTAGGACATCTGTGGAAGTATTTTTTTTTCCCCCAAGAATAAACAGTTGTTTTAACTGCCATGTTCCAGTTTAATTTTGCTGTCTTAGTAAGTTATACAAAGACACTGTAAGCCTATTTTAACCAGACTAATCCCTCCAATACCAGCTGTATTCAAGACAAATGCCACGACCTACCAGTTTTCATACAGAACCATAAGAGCAATTCTCAATGAGCTTTTTGAGCTACGCTATTGATACGGTGAAGCTATATATGTACACCAGCATTTCAAGGCCCTTAGCTTGAAAATATGCTACATAAGCAAGCAGAACTTAACCACAGCTTTGCATTACCAGGACCATATAAGACTGATCAGTTGTTTTACATGATCCCTGCAACTTATTCTATGTCGCTGTTTTATTTCCTTCCTTGCTATAAAATCTGTGGTGTGAATTCACGGCCCACTGTGGTGCAGACATAAAATTGTACTTTTCCTGTATTCCGTGCAGTACCAAGAGCCACTCATGCATGAACACGTTGGAAAAACTGGCACAGCTATCCTGAGAAAGACAAACCTCTGCAACACTGATTTTGGTAACTGAGAATTTATGGGGATATGGGATAAGCCATTAGGCAACATTTCTGTAAGTCACATACGTGTAAACACATCTGCTATAAGCTTGCAGGGTTATTTTCAAAGTCCTTACACTACCTCCATGATAGTCCACCTGCTCTGGAATAAACTGCCTATATTCAAGCCTCCATTAATCTGTAAGCACCAGGCTGTTGCGTGCAACTAATTCACAGCACTGAGCTAACAACAAAGGCACAGACTTCCTTTAACAAACCTGAGCACACAATCAGGTTGAAAAGTGGGAAAGGTCTGCAGCTCAGGCTTAGGCGCCTTGCAGGAACAGTCTTATCCTCAGAATGGAGCACAGCCTTCAGATTTTGTAATGCTGAGACTCTCATTTGCCCATTTCCTTCTCAACAACTGAGAGCAGGAACACTAGCTTCCACTCAGACAGCCAGATTTCTGTTTTGAAAGCTATAATGCCCAAGTTAGATATCTAACAGAGATAATTGTTGCCATCAGATGTGTACTGACATGCTTGACAGCCTAGGAACATGTTACATGATTTGATTAGCACTTGTAATACTCTGCCAGCCCTTAGCTGTATCAGCAGTGAGGAGGATGCCGGAGACAGTAGGGTGTGAAAGATGACAAGGCTTAGTAGGCTTCTGTAGCTTATCTTATATTCATCATTGCAGTTATGTAACCATGCATTATACAGAAATAGTATTACTGTTTGTGCTTACTGAATTAACATGGAAAAGTATTTTCTTTTCAGAGAAAGTAGCTATTAAGATTTTGGACAAGACAAAATTAGACCAGAAGACTCAACGTTTGCTATCTCGTGAAATATCAAGCATGGAAAAACTCCACCACCCAAATATCATCAGGCTGTATGAAGTGGTGGAGACACTCTCAAAACTGCACCTGGTAATGGAGTATGCAGGAGGAGGGGAACTCTTCACTAAAATCACTACAGAAGGAAAGCTAATAGAAACAGAATGCAAAATAATCTTCTCCCAGATTGTTTCTGCTGTGAAGCACATGGTAAGTTGCTCTTCCATGGGCATGTTTCTCCTCACTGCTTCAGCTGATTTTGAGGATGTATTTTGTTTTTCCAATTAGTAAGTTTACTGTTATCAGGATTTCAGGCACATATCTTTGAACAGTGAAACCAGCTTGAGAAATACCATCTTAAAGACACCTAAGAGTGCTTTCACATCCATCTCAACTTACTGCCACTCTGTTGACATGTTTGGGGAGGAGACTGAATTGAGAGCGTGTGGTGAATGGAGCCATCCATTCAGTAACAGTGTTCCTCCTGACCACTTGTGTTTGTATGGATCCGATAGTAAAGCTTCATTTCATCCCTCAGCTGTTTCAAAAGAGCATCACTCACTTTTCTGCTAGAAGAAAGCAGTCCCAAGAAGAGACGTGTTGTGTATTGCAGACATCCAGCTCACTTACTAACGAATGTGGGAGACTAATACTTAAGACAGTTAATTCCTGTTCCTTCTTAGGTGATGTCAACACTTAGCAAGTCACTTCCTCTTTTCTAGCCCTCATAACTGCAACTAGACTTAGAATGATGCAATTCATAGAACCCAAAACATTCTATAAAGGCAGAAATGAGTAATTAACCACTTCCAGTACAACCTCCTCTGAGTCTTGCTTAGTAACCACAGCTGCTTACAACTACATTACAAAAGCCATGAGAAATCTGCTCTGCGTTTCACTTAACACTAGTTAAAGTTGGCCCAGAGTGCCCTCCGGTGGCTCATACTCTCCCGCCGTGTAACGGGCTCCAGTTCCAACAGGCAGAAAGATGCAAGCAAGTGTATTTCCAGGTCAGACATCTAGAAATGCATTGCAAACAACGTGTATGAAAAACATGTTAATGTATTTTGACAGAACAATCAGATGTCTATAAATGAATTAGCTTCAACATCTTTTCCACAGGACAAGTATTCAGGATCTACTGGATCTTAAAGATCATGTGTATTTCTTAACATTAAAACCAGACCTCCAATCTCACCAGCCTCTTTACTCATACACTCAGTCTCCTGCAAAAATATTTTACTTTTGCCAATCTATTAAAATCGGGCCACTTATATCCCATCTCACTGTTGTCAGCCCTCATGAGGACTAAAGATCCTTGCTTGTTATTGATGACAGGGTTTCTCTAGTGTCTCCATGTGCACTCTTACTTACAAGGGTAACAGCAGAGATGCTCAAACTCTTTCGCTCTTCCTAGTCATTTCAAAGATGAAATTAAACACTTACTTAATCAGTATAGTTAAATGTCTACTCAGCAGAGCACATCAGTACCTTCATTTCTGAGGTTAAAAAAAAAGGTACGTTGCAGCATTTTCACTTCAGATTTCTAAAAGTAGAAGACAATACTGAACATCCTGCAAAGACATAAAATATCACCAGGCACAACTCTGTGCACACCTCTTCTCTTGCCAACACTAGATATTAGGATATGGATCACAAACTAGGACAGTTGCTACAGTTCTCTTATCTGGTACCACATTCACATAATGTTATCAATGAACTAGAACATTTCAGTTCATAAGTCTGCATGCTCAGAACAAATGCAAAAATGGCTTTACATACTTAAAAAAATATTTCTGTTACATCGGTACAGAAATGTAGTCATTTCGAAAACTAGTGCTCTGAATCCTGAAAAAATACAAAATACTTAGCACGGGAAGATACACAGTCATGTAGGATTATCCATAATGCCATCGCATCTGCTTAACACAAATACTAATTCCTAACTAATATTAATGAATACTAACAAGATGTTGCTGTCCTTCAAAACATACATGTATATGTACATGCATTTCCGCTCCCCCTCGGTCATTTTCTTACCAGTAGAGAATTAAGATGGACTTGCAACCTTCAGTTTCATAGCAAAGCTTATTTCTTTGTTTGAGATAAATAATTCCCTTTCCTAGGTATAATTAATCAATAAAAGATAAAGAGTAGTCACTTAAGTACTTGCTAATACCCAGTGTTCTTCCTCTTCTATAGCATGAGAATAACATCATTCATCGGGACTTGAAAGCAGAAAATGTTTTCTACAGCAGTAACACCTGCGTTAAGGTGGGAGACTTCGGATTCAGCACAATCAGCAAAAGAGATGAAACTTTAAATACTTTCTGTGGGTCTCCTCCTTATGCTGCCCCTGAACTCTTCCGAGATGAAAACTATGTTGGCATTTATGTAGACATCTGGGCACTAGGAATATTGTTATACTTCATGATTACGGGGATCATGCCGTTTCGGGCAGATACAGTGGCCAAACTGAAGAAGTGCATTCTTGAAGGGACGTACAGCTTGCCTCCCTGCCTCTCGGAAGCTTGCCAGAAATTGATAAAAGGAGTCCTTCAGCCAGTACCAACAGAACGATATTCTGTCAAACTTATTATGAACAGTGAGTGGATGCAGGGGATACAGTACCCAAAACCTTTACAGCCTTTTAAACTGGATCCTAAGTATTTATCAGAGATCAACACACTCAAAGAGGAGGAAATAGAAGTGAAAAATGCTCTGAAAGATCTGGGAATCACAGAAGAACACATTCAAAATAACCGGGGAAGAGATGCACGCAGCTCAATAACAGGTGTCTACAGAATTGTTTTACACAAAGTACAAAGGAAAAGGGCCCTTGAATGTGTCCCTATAATGTCCCATCCAGATCCCAAGGAACAAGACATAAAGAAAGGAATCAGCTCTTGTAACGGTGTAAAGCACACATCCAAGCTGTGTTCTATTTTGTAAACCACACTGCAAGCTTTGAACTCAGCACACTTAACAAAGGGTTTTATTCACTTTTCACAGGTTTTGGTGTTGCATTTTTTCTAATTTTTAAATAAACCAAATTGCCTCATTTCCTTTGCATTTTTCAGCTCACATTTGAAGTGCTCAAATGCAGAGCCCTAATGTACTTGTTTGTCTCTTGCTCCAGAAACATGGTACAACTAGTGCAATAACTCAAGTAAAACAGAAAGAAATTATCAGTGGAAGTGATCTTTTAATAAAGATCAAATGGCATTGCATGTAACACACTTCGGAGATCTCTCAGTACAGCCACGTAATGGTTAACTTCTTGACAAGTTTTACCTTAGCTTGACACAACTATACCACTGCAAACAGGACAGTTTTTGCAAAGAACCAAGTTCAAACAAAAAACTGACTGCAAATTCTTAAAAGCATCCTAAGCAAATTAAACTTGCTAAATTACAAACAAAAAAATTCTAATTACATTTTAATTAAAGAAAGAACAGTGCTGCTGTTGACTACAGTTCTTCATTTGTCACAGTCCAAAGGCAAATTCAGATATGCTACTGTAGCCCTGCATGTATGGTTGCAGTTTTTAGTGCCTAACTGGCTGGGTTACAAACCATTAATCTCCTGACATCTTCCACAATTCGTATGATTCTCACAGTCTCTAAATGCTTGGAATAGAGCTGCACTCCAATAAAGAGACAGATGTAAGCATACTCTTAAACTCTGAAATTCTTGCTTCAGCAGTAGATAGCTGTAAGTAAATTGAGGGTTGCCAATACCAAAATCTAGTTACAAGCTGTATCAGCCTTCTGTCATACTATTTGGGCATGAAGGTTAGTAGCAAAACTGATTTTTATATTCTTGACCACTAGAAGTTAAAAGTTGGGTACCGTGACAATTCCAATTTTTCTGAGTGTCACCAAGATGTTGCCATGTCCCACCCTATCTTCATCTTTCAGGTAATTTATACTTTAATCAACCAGCCCAAATGCAGTAGCTTTCCTCTGAACAGGCACAACTGAAATGCCTTTGCTAAGGCAGAGTCTGAATGATTTTAGTTAAGGTGAGTACATTACTGAAAGGTTTAGAGATACATCTAGTGCTCTCGAATATAAAAGCAGAATGCCTTGTCTACTACAGGGACTGATGTTTCGTTGACCTTAAAAAGAGTGAGTAATGTCAATAAGCAACAGGATGACTTCGAAAAACCACTTGTGGGAAACGGTTCAACTAGACTCAGCTATGCAAAAAGCAGGAACCAATCCCCTTTCACAGTTTTTGTGAGAAGGAGATAAAACAATACTACCTTTCAAAATACAGTAATGAGATTAATTTTATTTCATAGGCTGTTAATGAATTTCTCCACTATAAACAGATGCCACCTGAAAACACTTATCTTGAAACAAAGCCTTGAAGTAATGATTTTCCACAAGCCTCAGCAACTCTTTCTTTCCATTTTTTTGTAATGAAATATTAAAGAAAACGATCCAGGAGATCCACAAAGACTGTGAACCCAGAACTTCAAGTTTTCATAAGGCCAGTTTCCTCTTTCTTGCCTGTTAAAGAAAAATTGCATCCTGAAAACCCAACAAGTCAGCACTACTCCAGCATGTTTCAAATATCTCAAACTTTATTTTAATAATGGATCTGCCTCACAGTGAGGTCCCTGTGGTTAACTTTTTGTGCCAGTAGCAGCTCAGTTCTTGGCTTGTCCACTGCCAGCAATGGACTTTTGTTCCATGGCATTTTTATTTTCTGGTGCCAGGACAAGTTTCATGAGGGCAAACTAAATCAAAATACTTGCAAACACTATTTTCATGCATCATTGCTCCATCACTTTCAGCAGAACAAACAGATTATTATCCATCGAATTATAAACATCAATTTTATCAAGGCTTGACTGTACAAATACAGCAAGTTACCAAACCCTAGTAAGTGACAGATATTACAAACACACTGTTACACAACAAAAGATTGTGATTTAAACAGATGAATATTTTTTGCTACTTTATGAGACGCGTAGCTCTGTAGAATTAGCAAAGAAATAAAGTTTAACAAAACTTCATTCTATACATTAGCTCAATTAAATATATATTACAAGCTTACAAGGCTCATGTCATAGTTTATTTGTAATCTGGGCTTTAAAAAGCTACCAGAATATAATCCCCATAAGTAATATGTATCTACTACTTGCAAGACGGATAGCTTCTAGCGTGCATGTTCAGAAAAAAAAGAAAGAAAAGACACCACTTCTACGACATCCCCAATGGAGAGAAGAACTTCAAAGTACAATGCCAAATTCAAAGTTAGAAACTGTCTCTTAGAAATGTGTTATACAAAGAATAGCAAGAGGTCAGAGTTCCAAGTTTGGGTCATCCAAACCGATCTTTTTTTCAGATTACCAATTAAAGCAACTCTAATGATATCTAGGAGCTTTACTTTAAAAGTCTGCTTCCTTAAATGTTTCTGTGACAGTTTAATAATCCTGAAAAAGTGCCCTATCAGTCAGTTCAAGAAATTTCTTATGAAGAACAACTGTTTGTCACCCTTGTAATTCCTCTTTCCCTGCAGGCTTCTATGATTTATAACGCAGGCATAGAACACACAAAATGGATGGTAGGTGGAATTACGAAGTAACTAACGTAGTCAGTTACAGAGTTTCTTAAGGGCAAAACTATCAGCCTTGTGTTCTTGAACCAGTCATTCTGATGGAGGGAAAGTAATTTTTTTCCAATAACGTTATTTGGTTCTATACCTTTTGCAAAGCAACGGTGTGAGGAGAGGTAGACTGGGATAAGAAAGGGAAGGTAATAAAGGGAAAGAGAAGTGCAGTATTCAGAAGACTGACTAGTTACTGTCAAGGCACTGAGAACCCTAACATTAAAAGCTCAGACTTTTGCAAGTACAAGTAGAAGTTAACAGTGGAGGTTTCGAGTCATTTGACATGGGAAAAGCAAGCAGAAGATTCATTCTTTTCTATGTACAAAGACCTTGTAATAGACTACTACTATTCAGCAATTAAAAAATTCAGACACGTTAAGGAATCCACAAAGCCCCTAGCAAGTTGCTCTATCCCCAGTATATTAATGATTTTAGTGTTCTGAAAATACTATAAATATCAGCACGCAGTATTACGACAAATCCTTTCAAGGAGTTTAAACAGCTTTTTCATGCTCCAATTAAGTACTACTGTATAATGAAACTCCAGTACTACTGTAATCTTTCCACTCTTTCATCCTACCCTCACACCTTTTTCCATTTCCCACCTCACAGAGGTATCTTAATGCTCCCCATTGGAAATGGCAACAGTAACGCCTTCAGATTCTGTTGTTGCAGGGATTCTTGGCACTTTCTTAGCAGGGCTTGGGATGTGCTAAGAGGAAGGGAAAAAAAGCATTAAATAAGGTTTCTAGTTCACATACATTCACACTTCATGGCTAGTCCAACTTCCGAAAAACATTCATGCTATGCTGGATGGCTTGGTCTTAAGTCATTCAAATCAGTCATGGCTCATGCAAATGAACGTGTGAAAAGAGTCTGTTTCTTCTTGTTTCATTCTTGTGTGGTTTCATTCATTCATGTTAGGATGAAATGTGCTTTCTAAAATCCCATGCTTGATTTTTTTTTTTTTTTTTTAAAACATTTCTGGTTTCTATGTTACATATTTTAACAAAGCGTTTGAAAGAAGTTTTAAAACCCCTTCCTCTTTTAACACATGTACACATGCCGTGACAAACATACACGCCGTTCAACCATTTATATCAAACTTTAAAAGAGCGCTCAGTGTTCACCTCATGAACAATGCCTGGGTGGACAACTTCAACTCCTGCCTCCAGGGGTCCATCAACCATAACCGGGCGCCGCGCGTATGTTCTTCTATGTTTCTCATCCACACGCACAAGATACCATGTTCCCTCAAAGAGATCTTCTACTGAACACTGTGGAATATAGTTGGCTGTAAACAAAGAAAAAAAAGGCCAGTGATGTACTGTCAGCTGGTTCCTGTTGAGCGTTTTATGCAACAGCGGCCATCAGGTGCTGCAGTTTGAAGTAAAAAAAAGCAGGAAAACCAAGTCTGCATTTTCACTGCAGTCACATGTCACACCAGGCCAATAAATACAAACTACTAAAAATATCTTTACAAGGTATACAGGTGTAGAAAAAGTTGGATGTCGGCTTCATTCTACACCCAAAACATTTAGTGATAGCCATGCAAATTTTGTAGTAAGTATTTTGCTGTAGGATTAGTAACGTTTTATATTTACAACGTTCTTACCCAAGTGATGTGTCTCCTGTCTAATCTTCATGTTTTCAGCAAAGACATCAGGTGCAATGCATTTTCTTGAGTCAAGTCTTGCTTTAAGATCAGAAAGGCTGGCAGTAATTTTGTCCAGTGCAGAACCTACGACATAAAATTATAATGTAGGGTAGCACCAGTGCTAAGCACAGCACATCAGCACTGCATGACTGTTCAGGACATTTCCCATTATAGAAGCTGAACTTCTAGTTAGTTACAAATATTTCTAACAGCTTGAGCAAAGCTCTTGTAGCATCTGAAAATGCAATCTATTTGCCTAAGGAGACACTTTAAAGGTGATCCTGCTCTAGGGAATACTTCATATGACTGTAATTAAGCACTGTTCAACAGATTTACTTAAGCTGATGGGTAATACAGCAAAGCAAACAAAGGTAAGCTATGCAAAGGAGTTAATTTACATCTCCTTTTACTCACCAGGAGTGGCATCCTGTGTAACTCTGATGGAATACAGTGTAGCAGCAAAACCAGAGCCATAGGAGAACACACTAATTCTTTGTCCTGCAAGGCGCTCTGGAGAGTATCTGTAAATCAAACAACAGTTGGTTAAAGTGAGACTAAGGCCAAGGTGCAAGTTTTAAAATAACCAGAAAGTGCAGCTGACTTAGAAAAAGCTGCCAGCAGATTGTATCTGCTACAATAACAATTCAGGGTCTTACACAAATGAATGAAAGAGGATTTCAACACCATGATTTTCAAATCTGCCTAAGCAAAAAAGATCAAAGAAATGCTCTGCATATGATTATCTACAAAGCAGACGATTTTTGCAAGTGACAAATACCCTAAAAGGAACATTCACACCTTGGAACAGAAAGTAACAAAGAGAAAAGAGGATACAAGACTACCGGTTTAGAAAATAATGCTGCATGCAAACTAAGTTTTCAATATTTAAAAACAACAAAAAAGCCATAACATGGTACTGGGTTGTTTGGAGCAGTGTAGGAAGAAAGGCTAGTAGAAGGTATGGCACATTAAAATTTGAGATCCAGCTTTGAAAAGCAGTAAGCAGTGCTTTTGATCAGCTTCTGACACAGAAATTTTGACTATACTTGTCACTTGAACTAATTGTGTTTGTAGAATAATTTTGTAACAGTTTTTCTAATTAAGGCAACCTAATAGGTAAACATTTGCTACATGTACTTTTACAGAGGGTTTTCCAAAAGAAAAATGCTTACATACAGAAAGCTATGACTTTGATTTTACAATTTTATGCTTACTGGGCTAGAAGAGAAGCAAGGCAACCGTAGACTGAAGGCGTGTACATGTTTCCATTCTGATTGGACACAAGTAAAGAAGCTTTGGTTTTCTGATTGAAGAGCTCTGCACTAGCTTTCATAAAAGCTTTTTCCACATCCCTGTCAAAATATGTATCTTCAAGCTTTACATCCCTATTTGGAAAAAAAAAAAAGTGGTCAGAAACCATTATTAAAAACAAACAACAGGAAGGAAAAACATCTCTGATGTTTACTAAGTTAATACCACCTGAATAAAGAAGACAGCAGCCATTCTCACCTGAAAGCTTCCAGACCACTGAAAACACCATTTGCTGTTTCTGCATTCTGGTCACTGAGAAAGTCATTCAGCAATAGCCTTGCCACAGACTTCTGTACCAGTTTACAGTAGGGAGAATGAAAGATCATGAATCCAAAGTCATTCAAGGTGAAACGTCTGTCTGTCCCCTCTGGAAGTGGCAGGAAACTTGTGTTAGAAATTATTTTTTGTATTCATCTATTAAAATAAAATAGTTGGATGGCATGATCCAGACATCTCTATGTCAACATACAAAATGCAGAAGTCTAACTCCTGCTGGCAGGTTCATTTAAAATGCTGCCAAAACTTCTGTTTAAAATTCTAATTCTTATAGATCTCATGCACCAACTAACATTTGCCCTGTTAGAAGAAACAGCTATATGCTTTACAAAACTCAGAACTTCCACCAAGCATTTTGAAATAAGAAATACTCTGCTTCATCT